TGGCACGGATCTACCTTCTGCGTTGGAAGCAAACGAACAACCCTCTCCTGAACCTTCACATTTTTCTGTTCACAAGTGGCTACCGGGGTCAGGGGGGAGCCAAGAGGGAATCTGTTCTCTGCAACTCCTGAGGAGGGAACTCAGGACCTTTCCCTAACACATAGCGGGAAACTAAGTGTGTAATGCTGAAAACAGTTTCTAGAATCACAACACTGTGACAATTAACCTTTCAACCCCCAAACAGTAAGTCCTACAATGGTCTAGCCAAGATAAGAAACAAGATAGGAAAACTGGGCTCGGGAGACAGGTCAGTCTATTTTCTAGTATCTTCCTACACTAAATTCCTGACAGAAAATAAGTTCCAGGGGCTGAAGGTATGGATTACTCAGTAAAATACTTGCCATGCAAGCATGAAGGTACCAGGCAGTCATGCACATGTGTGCAGTAGTGCACACATACACTGTCAGTGCTGGAGAGGCTACAGGAAGTCGCCAAGGGCTCTGGCCAAGGACGCTAGCCTAACACTATTCTGATAGCTCCGGGTTCAGTGAGAGACCTTGTCTCAAAACATACGTAGAGAAAACTGGGTTCTATAGCTCAGTGGAGAACACTTAGCCAGCATGCATGAAGTCCTCAGTTCAATCCATGGTGGCAGAGAAAATACAAATAAATAATAAAGCAGAGAATGATTAATGACATCATCTGACAGTTGGCTTTCAGTCTCCGCATGCACACTCATATGTATGTGTGAATGTCAATCTACATACATGCACACACATGCACACAAAAGTATATAGACAAAAAATATAGGTCCCATAGGGGCAGAGAACATATAGCTGGTATTCATCTGGGATTTGGTACGGACAGACCTTAAACATTGAGAAGATACTATTTCAGTAGTACCTGTTCTTGTTTCATTTCTGTTGCTATGATAAAAATATCCCTACAACAAACATCTTGAAGGAGGAAGGGATTTATTGGATTACAGTTCTCGGTTACAGCCCAAAATGAAGAGAGGTCACAGCGGCAGAACCCTGAGGCCGATGGTCACACCATATCTACAGTCAAGAGCATGGGACAACAAACACACCAGTGCTGTCTGCTGTCTGCTCACTCAGCTTTCTTTACTCTTAAACAGGGCAGGACCCGGCCTAAGGGATGGGGCCACCCACAGTGGGCTGCACCAGTCAACAACCAAGGCAACCATGTCCCGATAATTCTTCATTGTGATTCTAGGTTGTGTCATGTTGGTAGTTCACAGAAATCATCTCAGTGCCCTCCTAGGCAAGCTGTCCACTTGAGTCTCTACCTCAGATTTGCTGTGTTAATAGTCTATGCACTTATTCACTAGACACCTCAAGGCCCACTTCCGGGGCTACGACGCCTCAAGGCCCACTTCCGGAGCTATGACACCTCAAGGCCCACTTCTGGGGCTATGATATCTCAGGTCCACTTCCGGGGCTATGATACCTCAAGGCCCACTTCCAGGGCTATGATATTTCAGGTCCACTTCCAGTGATTTGCTTCCTCTAGGGAGGCTCCACCTCCTAAGTGTTCCCAGCCCTTTCATGTTCCAGGCCCTTTCAAAGCATCTACACCAGTTTGGGACCAAGTCTCAAAAAAACCCTGAGGGGACATTTCACATTCCAACTTCTGTAATCTTTTTGCTTAACTTGTCTAAAAACAGGAAATCAGAGATCACCTCAGTGCTACCCAGCAAACGCCTCCTCCATAAAATAAAGCTGAAGATACTCCAAGCAGACTCCGGGAACATATTTGTAGTTATTGCCTTGCAACAAAAACCCCACTAACCTTGGGCTGCAGAGAGGGCTCAGTCAGTAAGGTGCTTGTCACACATAAGGACCAGAGCTCACGTCCCCACCATCCACATAAAATGTGACCCAGGGGAGAGGGCCTGCGATCCCTGCTGGGAAGGAGGAGAGCCAGGCAGGTCTCTGGAGCCCATTGGTCAGCCATTCCAATCCATCCACATTCGATGAGAGACTGAAGACAGGCAAAGGGCTACGGAGGGAGACTCGGCCTTGCCCTCTGACCCCCACAGCCACGAGTGGGTGTGCGCACACACACCAACCACCTCAGCACCGCAAAACCTGCTCATTTTACAACTGGCCTAATAAAATCCCTGCTTTGTGCTCCTGAACTAATAAAATGATGTACGTCACTGAGTAAAAGGCACCAGAATATAAATATGTGTATTTATTTCATTTTCCCCTCCAAACTCCTAGAATTTACTTTGGAGAAAAGTGTAAGAGACTTCACAATTTTGGGAAATCTCATTTTTTAACTCAGAACTAAGAAAATATGTATTCTAGAGTAGAGCATTCAGACGTATTCTTAGCTTCCTGCTCTATACTTCCAAGGTCATGTGTAAATCTATTTATGTATTCTGAAACAGCACAGCCCTGGACTGTCTTGCCTTAATTCCCCAATGCCCATAGTTCCCCATAGTGCTACAAAAAAGCATTCCTAGTGTGTCTGTCTTTACATTTTTCAACTTTCCCCTGCATCTCCAAATGAGCAATGAAAATAATATCAGAGCTACTTGGGGCTGGAGGGTGTACCCAGGGAAACAGTATCAGAGAAACTCAAGGGAGGAGGGGCGCTCCCAGGGAAACAGACCTTACCAGAGAAGTACCCCTTCCACAAAGACCCCAGATGGAGAGGACTAGATAGCGGGAACCACAGTTCCAAAGCCTTCCTGCTCCCATTCCTGAGCCACAGGACCCGAGGCTGCCCTAACGGTAGAGGAATAGCAGCAGCAGAGCAGGAGATGCCTCCTTCCTCGCTTGCTCCTGGCAAAGCCAGCCAGTAAAACAAGCTGTCTGCCATCCTGGTCTTGCGGGGCCTGCTCTGGGAAGATGCAGGAAAAGGGGAAGAAACAAAGAAAGAGCAGCACAGCCCTGGAGGCCTGTCACGCGGTGCCCGCAGCAAATGAGAGCCAGGGAGACTGGTTAGCAGAGGGAGAGAAAGTGTGTAAAGAGCCAGGGAGACTGGCTAGCAGAGGGAGAGAAAGTGTGTAAAGAGTCGGGGAGACTGGCTAGCAGAGGGAGAGAAAGTGTGTAAAGAGTTGGGGAGAGACTGGCTAGCAGAGGGAGAGAAAGTGTGTAGAGCCAGGGAGACTGGCTAGCAGAGGGACAGAAAGTGTGTAAAGAGTTGGGGAGACTGGCTAGCAGAGGGAGAGAAAGTGTGTAAAGAGTGTCTCATTTCAGGGGTCATCTGCAAAGACCTGGGGATGAGCAGTTAGCAAGAAGAGGAACTTGACAGCTTACAGAACACTTTGAAAGAACATCACAGTTAGAAGGACACTGTGGGAGGGTGTGAACAAGTCCAAACAATGCAGAGAGGAACGGGGCTAGCCCCCAACTCTGGATGACCAAAGCAGGTTCAACAGTGAGACTGACCAAGGTGGGGTGGTCAAGCTGGCATTGTCAATGTTGCTTAGGAGGGCCTCCGTGCCAATTCTACCCAACCCTTCTGTTTATTCGTGTCTAGCAGCAGCCATGGGAGAATCCGTGAGCTGAGCATCCCTAGAAACAGAAGGGATCTTTCGATAAGAGCCTACCACATCAGATACCGTGCTGATCTGCCTTCCAGATGAAGAAAACAGTGGCCTGGGGAGGCACCTACAGACAGCAGTCACCCTTGGGAAGCTCTTCCACCTGGCCACCGCTGACTTCCAAGAGGGAGCTCAGCCTTCCCTTCACGAATGTGCTCCTGCCTGTCACCAAACAGCCAACCTCACTGTGAACCAGCACTGGGCAGAAATTCCTGTAACAGTAGAGCTAAGTGCTGCAGTCTGGATTGTGACCAGCAGAGCAGAAGACCTGGACTCCAGCTTCTCACGGGTTTAAGTAGCCATTGGCTTAAGGAGGCTGGAGGTGTCCATGAGTGCTGGAGGCCCACGTCTTTAACAGAGAAAACGATAAACAGATACGGTACAGGTCTCATTGTCCTAAACTGACGGGAAAACCCACATGGAATCCTGTTTCTGCCCTGCAAGGAAACGGAGTCTACCCACTCCATTTCATCTCCGGATGCTCCTGTAGCCATCTGTCACCGCACAAAACATCTTGGTTTAGAAGCCCCCAAACACCCCAGTCAACTGCTCATTCCCTGCCAGAACCTTCTCCACGAGTCTATGCAGCCGTAATCAAGTGGTCCCAGCATGTACAGAGGTGATCGGTTGCCTTCTTAGCGTCTGGAGAGACAGCCGCTCCAAGTCCAAAGACATCAAGGGTGCACCAGGTCATTCTTTAAAAGGAGCGGGAGAGATGGCTGAACAGTTAGGAGCAGTCTCTGCTCTTCTAGAGAACCCGAGTTCAGTTCTCAGCACCCACGTCAGGACGTTTACAACCCCGGCAACTCCAGCCCAAGGATACAAAGTTGCGGCGTCCACATAGCCTCTCACAGACGCTCCCACACACAAGCAATCTAAAAGAAAATGCATTTTAAACCCTATCTTTGTCTCTCCCACAAAACTTTTTTTTTGGGGGGGGGGTTTGGTTATGTAGCTTTGAAGCTTGTCCTAGAACTAGCTCTTGTAGACCAGGTTGGTCTCGAACTCACAGAGATCTGCCTGCCTCTGCCTCACGAGTGCTGGGATTAAAGGTGTGTGCCACCCCCACAGAACGTTCATACTCATTATCCCACTTAAACTCCACATTAACTTTAGAATATAAATATTTAGCAAATCCATTTATTTTGCAGAGGTCAACTGACTTCTCTCGGGCAATACGACCTGTCTCCAGTGGTACAGACCCAGACGTGGCACGTCCTCTGAGTAACACGAGAAGGTGGGGCGCGGGGTGTGTGTGTGCGTGTGTGTGTGTGCGTGTGTGTGTGTGTGTGTGTGCGTGCATGCGTGCGTGTGTGCGTGCATGCGTGTGTGTGTGCGTGCGTGCGTGCGTGTGTGTGTGTGTGTGTGACAGCGTATGGCCTGAGAGCGCGGAGGAGAAAATACAGCGACACCCACCACTCACCTCAGAAACCAGCCCCTTCCAAGTGTACCTCTTCAAACAAACTCAGTCCCCAAGAGTGTGCTTCAGGCCAGGCCCAACGTAAAGGGCCCTGCTCTGTGACCCTAGAGCACAAAGTCCTAGGCCTTTCTGTGGCCTACTGAGGCAGAACAACTTCTGAGGCTTCCACTGGACTCCGCTACCACCCTCAGGGCGACAATTACTGCCCGTTTCCCCCTCTGGTCGCAGAGGAAAGAGAAGCACAGCTGTGGGTGGGTCCTGGCTGACTCCAGCCTTGGGGCAGCGGCCACACATCCTGCCACCTGCTGAGGTCAGCACAGCAAGGAGATCTTTCTCTACTCCTTCATAGTCTTAGCAGAGGAAAAGGCCCGCGCGCGCGACAGTCGGAACTAGACTGTGAATACAGCACCCCCGCTTCCAATACACGGATCAGTCGTATGTGACGCTTGGAGGCGTGCGCCAAGCTGAAGAAGGGGAATTTCTGTCAGCTACACATGAGTGCACACACTGTGAAGCAGTTAGCTTTCCTATCGTTTCTGTAAATTTATCGTTGCATTTATTTTATTTGTAGGGGAGAGGAGGAGCATGCCGTCAAGTTTGTGTGGAGGTCAAAGGACAATTTTTGGGAACTCGTTCCCTCCTCTCCCTTCCCGTGTGGCCCCAGGCATGGTGGTAGTGTCCTTACTCAGTGAGCCACCTCATCAGCACTTCCAGCTGGTTTAATAACAATGGTGGCATATGCCTACCACAGGCCTCCGATGTGTCTGCACTGTGCTGAGTTTGACCTATGTCTTATTTAGCTCTCACGCAACTCTGAGACAAGGAATCTGGCTTCATCCCACTCCACCTCGGGGGCTTCGGTGGCCAAAGTTCCCTGTGGTCACACAGTGAGGCGGCTGCGGAGGTTAAGATTGTTCTTAATCTTTCTTTGTTTTTAAACGCATCCTAGCTCAATCTCGCCAGCCTTCTGACAGTCTTTGTGCTGCTGAATTACAAGCACTATGCTTTCTACCTGTGTTCTAAGCCACTGCTCCATGTGCTGTTCAAAAAATTTCTCCACCAGCAGGTCCTGGTGCATGTGAGCCGCGTGCCTGGGAACAGGCATAGAGATGGCTGTGAGCTGGAGACCAGATCCCATCCTGCTGCCTTCACACAAGGGTGGTTCCGTTCATGAAATCAGAAGAGGGACCAGAAGGGGGAAGGGATCCTTAAGGAAGTGGGAAGGGAAGAAAGACTGTAATGGGGATGACGTGGAGCTTTTCTGGAGAAGGAGTGGAAGGGAGGAAGAGTGGGGGAGGGCCACCAAACAAAGTGTGTGAAAGCCAGGACAAAAACCACATTTTCATGCCTATTTACTAAAAATGGGGCTCAGTGCGTAAGAGTGTTTGCTGCCAAGGTTGACAAACTGAGTTCAGTCCCAAGAACACACATAGCAAAGGAGCGACCCAACTCCCACAAGCTGCCCTCTGACCTCCAGGTGCACACTCACACACACACACACACACACACACACACACACACTCTCACACACACACCCACATACATACATAATAAGTAAATTTTTTTCTAAAAATGTAAAAACGAATAAAGGTCAACACCAAGACTCGCAGATGCTAAACGACATAATTTACAATTTAAACATAAAATGTAAACATTGTAGAAGCAAGCATAGGAAGGCAGGCAAGGGACACAGGGCTAGGCAAGACATTCTTAGGAGGGATGGACACCAAAAGCACCATGTATAAAGACAAAAAAAAAAAATCAGTTAATTGCACTTTACCAAAATTACAGACTTAGTTTTTCAAAATGGTTCCAGAAAGAGAGTAAAGGACGGAAGCTCACTGTGGGAAGAAGACGCACGCCACAGCCCTGCAACCGAGGACGCTCGGTGTAAAATAAAACACCCAGTTAGGGCAGTGAAGTAATGGACTTCTCCCCAAACAGAGCATGCAGACAGAGCGCATTCAGAGAGCATGTGCAGGCCTGTGGGCCTTAGGGAAGAACAAACTTAAACCACAATAAGCTTACAGCACCTATTAGAACACCGTTGGGACAGCTTACATAGAAATCAGTGCTAGACGCTGCTCAGGAGACAGAAACGTAGGGTGTTCACACTGCAGGGAGGATTCTAAAATGAAATCACTACTCTGGAGAAGCATTTAGCGATTATTTTATTAACAGCACACGGTTACCATCTAATCTAGCCTCCTGGGTATTTATCTGAAATAGTGAAAAAATATGTCCACACACACCCCTGTTTGTGAACATCCACAGAAACATCCTCGGTAATAAACAAACACTGAAAGCAACCCAGGTGTCCCTTCACAGAGAAGCAGCCAGACCACATCCAGCCCTTGGAGTACTACTCAGCAATGAAAATGAACCGATCATTGACACAAGCAAAACTCTGGGTGGATCTCAGGAAACAGCACAGACGAAGGAGCCAGTCTCAAGAGTTCCATATTTCAAGGATTTGCTTACATAAAACATAATAAACAGAATTGTAGAGAATTATGATTAGGTGAGGTATCACTGTGATTCAGGGACTGAGGGGAAGAAGGAAAGAGTGAGCGTCACCATAATCAGGGAGCAAGGAAAAGCACCGAGAGTCGGAATTGCTCTGCATCTTGACTGTGGAGCTGGATTCACAGTGCATGGGAGATGCAAACTCAGCAAACATGTCTGTGAAACCTGAAGAGCCCGGTCTGGGCTCTGAGGATCACATTCATGTCACCTTGGTCCTGCTAGGGTCCCATGACCAAGTCAGGGTCACCAGCAGAGGAGACAGGGTGCCCTAGGCCTCACTACTGTACTTGCAACCTCCTGGGAAGCTACGATCGTTTCAAATGGAAAGTGGAGGCTGAGGACTCCACTAACATTTAATACGACCAACAGGAGTGGAGGAGACAGAGCTGCAGCGCTGCCCAGTGAGACCCCAAACACAAACAGGACAGCATTTGAAAGCTGCACCCAGAGACTTAACAGGGTCGTGTTCCCAATGCCTCCTTCCTCCTAAAAAGAAAAGGGGGATAATAAAACAAACAAACAATCCTGATGTTGAGCCCCGTGATAGGCTGGGAGTTCTGCCCTGAGTTTGGGATGAATGCACCCTAGGGTTTCACAAGTGACAGAAGGGCTCAACCAGGACCCAGCGCAACATCCAAGAGCACCAGCAACTTCCTTTCAGAGAAGCAGTGCCCTGGCCTACCCACCACGGCCAGGTGTACACAGAACCACTCCTCCAAAACAAAGCAAGGGCAAACCAACAGGACTTCAAAAAAGAATCCCTTGGCAAACAAACATAAAACCTCAGTAACCTCAGACAATTCCTAGCAAACTTTGTAATCAAATACATCCTCTGGCCTGACCTCCTCCCTCACCTCTTGCTTTTCAAGGATTCTGTCACCTACTGAATTCAGGTACCCTTCAATAGTAATAAAAACATTCAAAATACTACAAAATCCCTGGCCTTCATTTCCATATGCACAGGAACACACATAATCCAGCCAGAAAGGAGTGTTACTTCAGAAAATGTTGGTAAATACTAGAAATGCTAGCAGCGCTTACGAACTTCAACACATGGTGTGAACTGCTGCGGAATCTGACAGTATTCCCAGCACTTCCCTGGGTCTGTCACTGGATATTTTCAGTTCTGGGTGTTGCCCTGCACGTTCAGAAAACACACGCACACCTGGAGAATGCTCTCCCAGCGGAGCTCCTGCCTCCGTTAATTGGGCCCACCATTCTTGGGATCACACATCTGGGTGTGTCTAGCTCTGGGATCACGCATCTGACGGGTGTCGGACATCAGAAAGCATAGTGCCACACAGAGACGCTCCAGACACACAGGCTGGCTGGCAGGAGCAGGCACTCTCCACGCTCACCAGCCGAGCACCTTCCCGGGAAAGCGCTCACAGTTCTCCATTCCTGCGCTGCTGTCCACGGAAGATGCACTCCTCATGCTACAGTCTGTGCGTGTTCTCGGTCCACCGGAGCCCGCAGCCCACATCTTCTCAACAGAGCCTTGAATACCTAGACATGAGGGCATCCTTCACAGCACCTTCTCACTTACTTGCCACCTGGATGAGTTTCCCTCATCAAGAAAAAATGTGGCATGCAAGACAAAACAAAAACAAGCTCACTAACAACTAAATATCACCTGTGCACACACACCAGGAACCCACCAAGTAAAGGGTCTTTAGAACACTCTATTCTATGCCTGCTCCTTACATGACCACACACACACACACACAC